TGCGAGATGCGAGAAAGTTTGCGATAACGCGGATAATCTACAGTATCGCCGACTTTAAGTTCCCAAGCTTTTCGCGATGACTTATCTAGTTTTTGTGAAATTAGAAAAATAAGCCAATCATCCCAAATGTTTAGTAGCGCAATCGAGATTGTTTAGAGCTTGTATCGCTTTATTGGTTTGATCGCGAAGCGTGCAAAGATCGTTGGAGATTTCTGTAGGTAGGCGGTAGGCGATGCTTGTAATCCGATGATTGATACGTTTGGTTAGATGCACAGGAAATTCGCAGTTGGTACGACGTTGAATAATTTCTTGTGGCTGTTAGAAAGAATGCGTATTACGAGCAGCAACGAAACTAGCAAATCTCGCCGGAAACTCAGGTAATTCTCGCGCACTGAATGCCCTCAGTACGTGTATCGGTAACGTTACGTGACAAAATTCAGCGTTGACACGCAATAAAACTCCGGTGTGGTTTGCTCTGAACATTCAGGATAAAATTCGTTAAGCGCGAATTTCAGTAAATGATCCGTATTGATCGGAATCGGGGAAGCGAATTGAACATTCGCACGTGGAACATGTGCGCGATAGTCAGCTTTTCGAGTGTCGCGCAAGGAGAGTCGCGTGCCATCTGAGATAAATAGATGATTGGAACAGGAGCGAGGTATACTCATGTTTTGAAATGTCGACCGCAGGTGTGATCCAACAGGGATGGCTCGGTATTTGTGAGTTGTTTATTCGCCATCCTCAAGAATACATTTGGAATAATGACGATTTCGGAATAATTATGCTCTTCTATATGCAGATATTGCCAAATACAAAATTGCAAAATTATAATGGTTCCAGATATAGAAGAAAATAAAAATTTGCAAGAATTAGAGTATATAAATCACTTTTAACAGTTTTATATCAGAATATTATATATGTTTTATTATATCTTTATATATTTTATTTTATATTGACCAATAAAAAAATTTTATTGATCATATGTATTTTTTTTATTTTGTATTATGTATTTTATTTTATTATTTTATAAATAATTTTGTTACTGGTTTCAATTATTTTTGAATGTTATTTATTATTTGTGCACTTCCATATGTTATATTTAAATACATTATATATTATATTATTAATTTTCTTAAATATTAAATTATGTTCTTGTAAAATGAAAACTTATTTCCTCCTATCTTTGGCCCCCAGCCTCTCTTCTTTCGCCCCATACTCCTAATTCCTTATTCTATAAAAAAATATATATTTATTTGTTTATGTTTTTAAAATATTATGTCAGTGATGATCAAAATCAGCACAAGTTTAAACAAATTTTTCACAATAACTCACATACTTATGTAAATAAATGAAAATTTGAAGTATGAAAAATTTCGATACGGAGTCTAAAAATAGACGTTCCAAATTTTTAATTGCTTTTTTAAAAACTATTCTAGTGTAATTTTTTAAAAAATTATGATAATTTCAAGTTTTATATTTATTCAAAAATTTTAAAAATTATTGAAAATGTCAATGGCTCGATTTTTAAAGAACAAAAATGTTTTTAAATTTTTTCCTCTCGTGGAATCAAAGTATGAAGTATATATTGTAATATCCTGCAGACGCTTTTTTTTAAACAATTCGATATCGACTTGTAACTAATTTTATGAAAAAAGTCAAAAATTGCATGTAACATATTGTTCCATTGTCGAATTGTTAAAAATTATCATAGAATAACGAAACAAATTCCGTTAAAAAGGTGAAGATTTCAGTTCTTACGTGGAAAATATTGCTCGTACGACAAACAAAAACTTACAGAACCTTTTCTGTGTAAAATTATCTGTCCTTTAATTTTTCTCTCTTATATTTTCTTGGTAAAATTGATATTTATATTTGCAAAATACCGAAATTTGTGCCCTATTTGTTTATTTTTCTTAGCGGCCACTATATAAACTACTGGTAAACTTTTTTCTCCTTCAATCTTATGCAAAAATAAAGATCTGTTCAAAATTCATCCTAATGGTAATTTTTCTGTGGTCAAATCCTATAATAACTACACTAATAGCGAATTAAATATCCGTATCGACTGGCATCGATACGGGTACCCATTTCGCTCACGATTCCTCGAGTACCTGTATTGCACACGGTTTTGCGGGTACCCGAATGATCACTGGGCAA